CCCCAAAACCCCAAAACCCCAAAACCCCAGATGGTCAGATAAAATTGAATTAAATAAATTATTCTAACCCAAATTCAAGCTTTCAGTTCAACTTAAGGATGAAGTCTAAAACTTTTTATATCAAATCAAATTTGTGGCTCGAAAAGAGACTTTAGTGAACCGGTAAATGCATTGGATGTTATCATACAGGTCCTTTTGTTCTTGTTGTTAATATATCCAGGTTCTTGTTTTCGGCAATAAAATAAACATTGAGACATTACCTCCACTTACCTTTATTGTTTACTTTAATGTTTGCTTCCAAAACCAATGCGAGTAGTTTTATATTCTGTGAATAAAGAACTTGATTCTGGTTTCGGTTCAGCTGAGATGATTCCTTATGACTTGCTTTTACATACTAAGTAGACTGATAAGTAAATTAAATGTAAGGTATACATATAGTAACAATTAACATTCAAGATATTAGAGACTTAATTTTCTACATAAAAGTTCGTTTAGAAATGAGCTGCCAAATTCTCAATTAGGAAGTGATATGTTTCTCTAAAATCTGAGATTGCTTTAATAGATAGGGCCATGAAGAGCTTTAACATTTGGATGGAAAGAGAGGAAATGCATGCTCTATCTGTTGTACTATAAATAAGAACCAAATGACCAGCAAAGTTATGGCTAGTTCTTTAGAGCATGAGTTAGCGTAAATTTTTGAATTTTGACCTCAATAATTTTGAACTGTTTTGTAAAAAAGACAAGATATAGCTGTTAAAGTGTTATTGTCAGGTATTGAAAATCCTGGTGGTAAAAATGTCAAAGAATTGTAACGGACAATGACATATTAAGGATTCTGCACAGTTTTAGAAATGGAGATGGATGATATTATCAAAAATGTGTGCAGTTTTGATTCACAATAACCACAAAGTATGATAAGCACGTACAGAAGATATAGAAATATTATATTTTATCATCTATAATTATGGATGGGTTTTGAAAAGCTTAAGTTTTACAAAATGTTAAAAATGATGTTCTAAAAGTCTATTTAGGGCTGGGGTTTTGTAACATAACTATTTTTAAACAGAACTGGTACTATTCAAAGTTATTTTATGGCTTACTCTAACGAAAATAACTCAATGTTCTTCCAATATTTTACAAATATTATAATTTTGCTTTATAGGAATATTATATTAAAGAATATGTGAGCTAAATGGAGTCAGATATTTCTGTTTCCAACCCTCTTTCATCTCGAAAAGCGCAATGTAGATCCATGTGATCAGAAATAGATGCTTTCTAATACATTGAGGATTGCTTTGGGCTAATTTAAAGAAAGGATATAGATCGGTAGAATTTTTGGGTTTTAAATTATTGGCACTTTCTGAGTATTAAGATAATTTTAAAAGAAAAACTATTTGGCATAGAAGAAATAATGAATTTGTTGTTATAACAGTAGCTAGTTACTTTATGATGTATACTAAAGAGAAATAGTAAAAAGTTTAGCTATACCTTAGGTTCGATTCTGACTACAACAAAGTTTTTGCTTTACTTGTTTATAAAAAAGAAATTAATTCGTTAATATACCAATATCAGAAATATCATCATTATAATTTGTTTTTGGTATGCTAAGTCTTGAACCAAGTGTTTATTTGGCAACAAAATATAGATATCTCCTTCCATCCTTGCAAAAATGGTTATAAATTTAATAACAACAATAAAAGGCTTCTTCATAACTAACAAGGTATTTGGTGATCGAAATCTCAAAGTTTAAAAGAAAAATTTATAAACCATGAGGAACCATAGCATAATTTGACATCAAAGGGTGTCAATTTTTAATAAATTTACAACTATTTTACACAGATTGGAGAGCTAATCATTCTTTAAGTCATTAAATCTGGTTATTTCGAATATTTATGAAAATAAAAGATCATCAACAAAAATATGGAAACAAATATTCGAAATAACTTATCTGCAAACTTATTAAATATTAAACGAAAGGAACAAGAGCAACTAAGATATGTTGAACTACTTATTTATATATAAATTCTAACTTCCTTGTAAAAACTACACCAAAAATATATTCTTTTAATGACTAGGTTTCGATCATGATCACAACCTTAATCGATACCCAAAAAAGTATATTAAAAAGTCACAAAATGTTAAATTTGGAAAAATTATACCTTTTAGTCAACTCAGCAAAATACAAGATTGAGGCAAAAATTAATTATCACCAAATACTTCAACTCCTCCAAGCTGGTTTTCTTCAAAGATTTGTTCAGCTTCATATTTCTTTACTCCATATTCATAGATTTCTACCTTTTTGAGACTCGATCTTAAATCTGGAGAACTTGCTAATCCTTGTATCAAGTTCTTAAACTCATCAAAGTTATTCTCCCAGGAATTTTTGTAAGAGCCTTTTGATTCATTTAAATTTAGTTCCTGGATTTGGCAATTTGTAAGAGCCTTTGAAAAATTAGGAACTCTTGGAATTGATAACTTGCAATGCCACAATGTAAACTCTCTGACATGCTTGTAAGCTGCCACAAGTATCTTTAGTTGGGAGAAGCCAATGAAGAAATTATAAAATGTAACTTGTTGGACGACTTTAGAACTGAGATTGAGCAGTGGTTTTAAGTAATTGGACTTATTCAGATCCATTTCTTTCATGGATCTAAAATCGAAACAATTAGTTTTATTTAGGAATGATGATGCTAAGAAATCTACCAAATGCTTATTTTTAGAACCATCAAAACTCAAATTAACCCAATTTATATCAAAGAATTTGAGCTTCTTAAAGCTTTGAGCAAACTTCATATCTTCAAGTTCGGAGAAATAAATCATAAGTTGACTATTTTCTGGAACTTCTTCAGAGTCTGAGCCCAATGGTTCAATTTCTTCTCTGTATGGATAAATCTTATAGAGAATGCTCTGGCATCTGCTGATATCTAGTTTCTTGGTTTTGGCAAGGACAGACTTCTCTAGACTGCACAATTAGAGATGGACTAGGAGGGGTCGATGTCAGAATCCATCAGAAAGTTTAAGTTGGATTCAAGAAAGAGTGTTAATTGTAATATTGAGAAATCCGAAGTTTAAGTATCTAGAAGAAAGCGAAATCTGATGAGATATCAAATGGATTTTTAAGAGATAAGGTTACCTAATTATCTTCAGTTTAGGCGAGAATATTTCCAGCCAAGGAATTTGCAAGTTCATAATTTTAGAAGTTTATTAGTTTTTGATGTGGCATTAAAAGTTTGGAAGTTTTAACAAATTAAAGGAGAAAAATGTCGAACGCACTAAAATTTTGTTCTAGGTTACCTGACTATATCGGTGTTCTCTTCTTCAATAGTTTTTGGAATACTTTTCATTTTATTATTATATAATGTCAATTTAAATTTTATTTTTCAATATGTATGCAGAGAAATGGGGTTTTGGGGTTTTGGGGTTTTGGGG